GGTCAGCGTTGTTGCGCTGCTGCCTCCCCCGTCGGTTGGCAGAGGACGATGAGCAGGTTCTGGTCGCTGACTTTTCTCAGTCTGCCTCAGTCGCTCACAGCCTGCCCGGCTCTTGATATCCCGGGCGATGCCGAACCCTGCGTAATTTTTGATGTCTTCAATACCATGAGTGGAGAGTGGTTAAATCATACGGAGACTTCACCACCATTTTCGACGCTCCTCCTTTCTCAACCGGCTTTGTGACCGGCTAAGGCGGATCTATTTTTGGAAGTCCTTAATTTCTCCAGACGACATTACCCCCTGATGACCAAGAATACAGAAGGGGGCACTAGTCTGTTGTATCGCAGATTGGATGTGGTGTAGTGACTTTTGTCTGCACCTTCGCAGCTTAATTATCAGAATAGACAAAGCAGAACACCGAAGTGTCGAAGGGAAGTGAAAATCTCTGTTTGTGGGAACGTCGAGCGCAGCTATGGCAAAAGTTTTCTATGGTACAGAATAGATAGAAAAGTATTTAGAGTGAACTGTCTCCTTTTTTCACACGAAAGGTATTCATATTTTTAATTTGTGCTTATCCTGGTCATTGATCGTAATCTCGATTTGATGATGCGCCTGGCATTAAATTAACTTTTCAAAAAGTTGCGGACAGAACGAATTGATTTCTGAAATTCTTTGACGTTTCATGTGACCCAGGAACTGAATTACTCATTTAATTTTTGCCTTTAAGACTTATCAAAATTTTTCTGTTATGCAGTGGTTCGAAGGTGGAGGAAGCATGCGAGCTGTACGTAAAGGCGGCAAACCTGCTTAAGATGGCTAAAAAGTGGACGGAGGCCGGCGATGCGTTCGTCAGATCCGCAGAGCTGAACTTCCGCAAGGGCGACAGCAAACACGAAGCGGCAGTCAACTACGTCGATGCCAGCACGTGCTTCAGAAAAACAAACCCTCCCAAGGCGGTCGATTGCTTGATGAAAGCAGCTGACATCTACACCGATATGGTGAGTTCACACCGGCCGCAGAAGTGATGATATCTCTGTGATAATATATGTTTGCATAAATAGCTAGAGTCGTTTCTTCGTGGAAGAAGTTTGGTTCAAGAGAAGCAAGTTACAGAGGAAATACTAGATTTTAGACTGTATGGAACGAAACAGAGAAGATGTATATGCAACACCCTATAGAAGGCAGCCCTTCATCGTCGTTTCGTTCGCGGAGTCACCCACGAACTGTAGATGGTGTTAGAAACTGATTTGTTTGGAAAATTGATGTGGTTGCTTGAAAGGACGACTGGCGAATTGTGTTTCTTGGAATTCGACTTTTGTCTTGCAATCCGGCGATTCGATTTCTAATCGGTACGCTAAGTCTTTTCCACTGGTAATTTAGAGGTAACGCCTCAAAAGATAGGCTACTCCTTTCCAACAGCTGCTTATAAGATGTCCTCCAGATTTGTCATTTCTGACCGTTAACTGTTTACTAAAACGGGGGTGGGCTAGTTCAGTTCCATCCACAAGTCCAAAATTTGTTGCTACATCTCAGGCTGAAGAAGACCTGCGGAATTGATTGAATTTTTGCGGAGTTAGTTCGGAGGAATGGAAATAGCAGAAAAGCTAAAGCTCCATGCTGTTTCATAAAATGTTGACTTCAAAGAGTTTCGTTGGGCTACGGAAGTAGGTAGTAATTTCTCTATATCGGGTGATCCGACTATCGTTGTATCTGTATAACTTGCGGAAGACTTTTCTCCTGAATTATCCTTTAAGTGCCGAGGCAGCCTGTTGACAAGGACTTTGCCAGAATCAAGCGGGCTTCCGAATGAGGTGCTCCTTCCTCAACCAGACTTTCACTATGCATACAATCATTGAACAGTGCCGATGATTCCGTTTGGGGATTTGCAAATAGGTCTAATAAGCATCTGAGTAAACGTCTGATTCGCGGGTGATTGATTACGTATGAAAATTATTAAAATACGAAACAAATTAAATGGTAAAAATGGGCATTGTAGCGGTTATGATGTGGAACCTTGGTTTTCTGAACAGGTCTACATTAGCAGCGCGGCGGTAGACTAATGCCTGTTTTACGTCAAATAGTGACCAATACTAGACTTTCTCTTTGAGTTGCTAAGTGTCTACTTTTCGTTAATGTTACCTTGGAGTTATTAATAACCTCATGGTTCCATTTGGGGTATGGCAGCGCATGCACCGTTTGTCATTCCTCGATCGTTGAGGCATTTAAGCGGACCATGGACCCATGTTTTCATGATACGGGTGCATGTGGCATGATGTTGTCTCCTGATGTGCTATCTTGATGGTCATCACTGTTGTTACTAAGTACTGCAGGAGAGAAGTAAATTAGATATGAAGTGAATCCATAACTCCGCAAGTGAACAGTCAACTAAACATCTATGCAAATGTTAAAAGAATAGAATGAGTGAAGAAATAAT